GGCGAGACCTCATCTCTACAATAAATCAAAAAATTAGCCGGGCGTGGTAGCGCACACCTATAGTTCCAGCTACTTGGAAGGCTGAACAGAAGGATCGCCGGAGCCCAACAGGTCGAGGCTGCGGTGGCCGGGAGCGGCCACTGCACTCCAGTCTGGGTGACAGAGTGAGACTCCAAGTCAAAAAAAAAAAAGAAAATCAAATGGCATCTTTCAGAAAGAAAAGGTGAAATGTTTGCACTTCACTTTCTGTTCTGAACCTTAAAATGCAGAGTTCCGCTCAAGTTATATGTTCAATAGAAGTACCACTGACTACTGAAACTGGAAAACCTAGAAAACTGCTTTGTCTCAAGGCAAGTGGCCTATATCCTTTTGATCATGTCACTGGTATTAGACCAAGATGAAGAAATAATACAAACCAACAATAGCCTGTTATGTTATCTGCCCTGAAGTTTGTTCTCCAATGGCTGTTTTGGCAGATGATACCATGTGAGAACTTTTCACTGGAATTCAGATTTGTCTTTTTAATTAAGATCTGAAAAAGCCCATATTTGAAAGAATTTACACCTACATGAAAAGCTATTTTTAAAAACTCATTAAAGTGTCTGTCAGTGGGAATGTGTGAGCAACCTTGGGTTCCTGATCTCTGGCCCAGAAAGAGAGGCACATGTGTGTTGCAATTGGACAGAACCACACCCACCTTTGTACTGATGGAGGTCTGTCAGGTTCTCCTGGTATGTGAGGATGATGGTCTGGTACTGGGTGACGATTTGGCGCCGGAGGCTCTCCCAGCAAGGGGACAGCTCCCCCAACTCCTCCAGCTCACACACTCTGCAAGCAATACACACAACACATGTCAGCAGTGGGGCTAGCTCACTGCCCTGGAGAGGCGCATGAGTCCTACCAGGAGGACAACTGCCCTGGAGAGGCGCATGAGTCCTACCAGGAGGTCAAAATGTACATGGAAGTATGACTGATAGCCAGGCTGGGCCAGGACAAGGGTTATACTGCCAAACTAAAAGGCAACTAGGTAGGAGGTGAGAACAGACAACTACATGAAAGGCGGATCACTGACCACACAGGAGAGCATATGGAGAGAGGGGAAAGGCTCTGTCATGGTACCCTTATGACCCTGCAGGTACCCTGTGAGGCACAGGCCCAAACCACAGCCTGCCCATGTTCTGATAAGGTATGGGCCTTCTGCCCTCCCTCTGAGAACAGAGCTGCAGAATATAAAGCCCATGGCTGCAGCCTACAACTGACACCTTAGCAACCAGGTCCCACAGCTTGTACTGCTCAATGCCGTCCGTGTTGGTTATGGGACAAGGACTGAGGAATGGGCACCTTTGGAAATTCTTCCTTCCATGTCCATGTAAGTAGGAAGCTGTTAGAATCTAAAAGTGTCCCGCCATGTCATTAGTGGTCAAACCAAAGAGGCCCAGGCTTGTCTTATATGGGTGTACTTGACAGAGGCATGAGGGATAAGACGGGGAAGGGAAACGAGTAAGAAGAAGAGAAGAAAGAGAAGAATTCTTATCTCTAGAAAAATAAAAGCTATAAAAGAACTAAAATATAAATTCTTTAGCTCAGTCAAGCACAGTAGCTACATAATAATACTCATAAAAACAGTTAAAAATAAAAAAGATAACCAAATTGGGACAATGGGAACTGAAAAAGTATAAAAGGCCTAAAATCTTTATCCTCATCATAGGAAATCAGTAGCTAATCCCTGAAATTGATTAATGAAGAGAATACACATTTATTTAGAAATAGAACAGCAAACACTAAAATTGCTAGAAAAAAAAAAGACTATTTCTGGGAAGTAGAGGGTCCAAGGGTTATGTTTTTAGATAAAAAGCTTTCAGCACTATTTGGCTTTTTATATTACATACATTGTTTTTCCTTTGAGAAAAGCTAATTTTATAAAAGTTCTTAGGAATCGACTAACTTGTCTGAAATTTTCAGAAAGTTGTGCCATTTTGTTATTATTAAAATAGAAAAATTAATGAAAAAGAACATCCAGTGCAGGCAGGGCTGTGATGCCCTCATCCTCCTGCTGGCCACTGAATGCTGGAGCTCTCTCTGCCACCTTGACACTGTTGGCTCTCTCTCTGCAATGTCTCTGCTCCCGTGTTCATGACTGCTTTCTACACCTCGGATGTCAGCTTAATGTCACCGCCTCACAGAGACCAGCCCTGATCACCCTCTTCCTCCCCACGGCCCCCCTTTCATTCCCAACACATGCTGGCACATCTGGAGCTCTTGTGTGTGGATTCCATTTCTGGTTCTGACCATCTCCCACGGTCTGTTGAGCCCACCAAGACGCCTCTCACACTGAGCACAGTGCCTGACACATGATTACTGCGAAAAACAATCAGAACAAAACCCTTAAAATGAGAGCACCTGTTAAATGAATGAACTACTTAAAGTTACAATAAACCACATCATGGGAAATTATGCCATAATTAAAAGTTAAACCTCGAAAAAAGAAGATGCATGGAAAAGCAGATTATTGCTATGTAAATATAAAATATGGACAAACCTGAAATAAAAAATTTTAAAAATTAAAATAACTATTAAAAATATGTGCACATAAAAGGATAAAGTAATTAGCAAAATATTAACAAATGGTGAATTCAGGTGAAAAGTTTCTGGATGCTCACGGCATTATTCTTGTCAATTTCCTCTAAGTTTGAATTTTTTTAAGGTAACAAATTTAAACAAAATAGCTGCATTAAAATAGTAAGAGTCTCGTTGCCTTATTTTCTTTCATGCTTCTGATATATTGTGTTAATAATCAATATTGCTTTAGGACAAGAAGTGGAAATGACAGTCTGAAATTGCTATGATTTGAATGTGTCCCCCAAAGTTCATGTGTTGGAAACTTAATCCCCAATTAAGTTGAGAAATGGGACCTTTAAAAGGTCATGAGGGCTCTTTCCTCATTAATGGATTAATGTCATTAGTGACTGGTTACTGCAAGACTAGGTTTGTCATAAAAGCAAGTTCAGCCCTCTCTCACGAGCTTTCTGGCTGTGTGATGCCTTCTGCCATAGGATGACACAGCACACAGGTCCTCACCAGAGGCCAGCACCATGCTCTTGGACGCTCCAGACTCTAGACGGCGAGCCAAATACATTTCTGTCATTATAAATAACTCAGTCTCTGGTTTTCTATGAGAGCAGAATAAAACTAAAACAGAGACAGACAGGAGACATATTCTGCAGTGCCTGAATTACCTGTTAGGCTTCTCCCTGCCTTAGGTCTGACAAAATGTGCCCTGGGCTGAGAGATGCAGAGGGGTTGAGACTCTTGCTCGTTGGGACCAGAGTGCCCTGATGGGTCGTATTCAGTCTTCTGGAGCCCTCATCTGTGTGGCCCTAACCTGGTCAGCTATGCCAAAGCTGGAAACTCCTGACCTGATCAGCTAAGCCAAAGAATGACCAATCATTTCTAACTTTCTGTAGGACCAGTAAAAAGGGAAAGGAAGAAAGGAAAGGGATGAGGTTTTGAGTGTTAGGCACACATCTGTAGCTTTAAGAACACTATCTTGTAAAACTCTTGCATAGGAGTCTACGACATAAATGAGCACATCGAGGCTTTGGCAAGCCAAGACCATAGAGTAGTCCAAGGGCAGAGGAGGCTAGGTTTGTAGGCCAGCCTATCTGACACTAGTGCTTTGCCCACCATGTCTCAGGAAAGAAGGGGGACATGACATGGGTGTGATGGGAGGCTGGTCCTTCCACGTGGCCTCACCTGGCTGCATCTTCTTCTAGCAGGAGCTTCACAAACTGCCGGGGCACGTGCAAGGAGAGCACGCTCTCTGCCATCTGCTCCAGGATCCGCAGGTGGTTGCCGTCGGTGGTTGGAAACCGGTACATGCGGCAGATGGCGCCTCCGAAGACTGAGGCAGGATAGGAGGAGACAGGCTGTGTGTGAGCTGGCTGTGGGCTGTGAATCTGCTTCATGGGTCCTCCTCCCCTGGCCCTAGATGATGCTGACACTCCCAAGTCCTCTTACCATTCATCTCAGGGGATTTAAAAACATAAACCAAAAACTCACTAAGTGACTAAGCCTGAATGTTCCTTCCTGGCAACATATGATCTTCTTGTCCCAGAACAAGTAACTAACTCTAAAGTGCAAGCGGCTGAGGGCGGGGAGGTTGTCAGTCACTAAACCCAATACAAAACAAGAAAGAGTAAAATGAAGGAGGAACCTCGCTTCCTCAGAGCATTACTAATTCTTTATATGCTGCAAAAATAACAGCACACTAATAAGCAGTAGAGAGGTGACAATCGGGGTGAGTGGCCATGACAGTCATAGGAAGTGGGGAGCAAAGGACCATGGGCCCAATGGACACGCACAAGTGGCAAAAGTACCAGTGGAGGAAGCTGCCTACCCGACTTCAGCAGAGTGTCTTTTCGCAATGAGGCATATTTGGATCGGATTCCCAGTGCCTCGGTCAAGCTCTCATCCACAGGCAGAACCATCTAAGAATGTATACAAAAAAGCACAAGGAAACTGTGAGACTCAGATGACTCCAGAGCATTCAGCAGAAATGGTGGCCTAAATACACCATAAAAGAACCTTTAAAATAAATATCCATCCGTAACTCCACAATAAATATGCTGCTCAAGGTACAAATTCACCTTCCAGTATACTGAATGTACTCCACATATACACGATTTTCTAGACATGCATGTCTTCTTAGTCATTTCACCTGGTGTTTCAGGGTTCTGATGCATAAAATGAAAGGAAGGGAATAGATGATGCAAAGGAATTATTTCCAGAACTGACGTTCTGGGTTTATTTTGGGTAAAATGAGATCTCTCTGTATTTTACAACAATGACTACTTACCAGTGAAGGGGCTCTTAAATTAGAATTCTCCTTTGAGAGTGTCTGTGTGAGAGACTGTGGATGAGAGGAGGTGCTGGAGGGTGCTTGCTGGAGAGGGAGGAAAGCCGGGGAGAGGGAGAGAGTGCCCAGAAAGTGGCTGTGTGCGAGGTGACTTTGGGGCATGAGTGTGTTTGGGAGGGGATGAAATATATATATATATGTATTTTTTAGTTTATATATATTTTATTTTAAAGATATGGGGTACATTTCAGGATTAGGTATTCAAGTAGATACCGTACAGGTAAAGTTTGGGCCTCCCTTTGGTCCCCACTTTGCCTGGCTTGAGATCAGGCACCCTTATTGATGTTGTGGCCCCGTCCCACCCCCAGCAGTATCCTGCTAATCCCTTTCTTATTGTATTATGGTAAATGTTCAGGATCCACTTATGAGTGAGAACATATGGAACACTGTTCTTTGTTTCTGTGATAGATCACTGAGTATGATAGACTCTAAATCCAACCAAGTTGCTACAAAATCCATATGTTTGTCCTTTATGGCTGCATAATATTCCATTGTGTATATGTACCACATTTTTGTAATCCAGTCCAGTTTCAATGGGCAGCACAGTTGGTTCCATGTTTTTGCTATTGTGAATAGTGCTGCAGTGAACATTCATGTGCAGGTATCTTTTTTGTAGAATGATTTGAGTTCCTCTGGGTATATTCCCATAAGGGAGATTGCTGGGTCATATGGAAAGTCAATGTCTAGTTCTTTTAGAAATCGTCACACTGTTTTCCAAAGAGGTTGCACTAGTTTGCATTCCCACCAGCGGTGTAGAAGCATTCCTTTTACTCCGCATCCTCGCCAGCATCTGTTGTTGTTTGTTTTATTAATGATGGTCATTCTTACTGGGGTTAGGTGGTATCTCAATATGGTTTTGATTTGCATTTTCTGATGATTAGTGAGGCTGAGCACTATTTCATGTGTCTGTTGGCTGCCCGTATATCTTCTTAAGAAGTGTCTATTCATGTCTTTTGACCACTTTTTAATGAGGCTGTTTGTTTTTTGGGAGGAGATGACATTAACAAAACAAAACAGATGACCTGGGTCTCAAATGTCTCTTAGGTCACAATCCACATCTCCTCAGTCACCTCCACCTCCCCTTCAAGCAGTTCCTCCAGCAGAGCTCTTCCCTGTTTGTTCCTGCCCTTTAAGAGTGGCCCGTGTGGTGCCCAGAGCAGAGACAGACTCCAGGGCAGCAGTACCTGGCTGGCCAGGGAGCCCCTTCTCCCTACTTCTGAGATGTGCCTAGGGAGGACCAGAGTGTCCTGCAGGGGGCAGCATCAAGCAGCAGGCCCTTTACTGAGCAAACAGGTTATAAGTCACATAGGCAGGTCCTCTTGTGCTTTCGAGGTGGCATACTCACTCTCCCGTTGACAGTGTCCAGAGACCGAGTTACGGCGGGCCGCTGGTCTGACTTCTCCTCCATCTGCCAGCCGATCACAGTGATGTTACCCACACGGTCGCTCTCTGCTGATCTGCAACGAGCAAAGTGTGTGGATGAGCAGTGTTTCAACTGCACTTCTTTTCTGCTTAAGTGTGAAGCCCAGTCATCCTGGATCATCAGAGATCTTGGGAGAGGCAGGGCCCAGCCTAACTGGTCAGTCAGTCAGCATTCGCTGCATGCATAGTCTCTCTCTAGGTGAGGCAGACAAGGAAAACATGGGGCCCAATGGAGGGCTGTATCTAAGAGGAGACAAAGTACCACAGGCAAGTGTGGGTATGGCTGGTGGAGTCAGAGAAGGCTTCTCCAAGAAGGAGCCAATGCTACTCCCAAGCTGCCAGCCCCTGGGATCATCACTGCACAAAGGGTGATATGGATATATCTCAGAGTTAAGAGCACCTTTTCCAGCACTGGACCCCCTTCTGTTCCTTTTCACCCCTCCCTCAGGCTTTGATTAGCTCCCAGGCCTAGGCATGGACTCCAACTACAGAGGGATCAGCCAAGGCTTCCTGAAGACACAGGCAATGTCATGCCAGCCTTATCAGCTTTACCCTTAAGACCCCTCAGGGAAAGTGACAGCTGCCTGGGACCATCTGATTCACCCAGGGGAGCCCCAGGGACACCCCGAGCCTCAGGCTTTTTATCTATGATGTCTAAGTTAGCCAGGTTCTAAATTTTTATGTGGCCACATTTACTCACCATCTTCTCTGTGACTTCTTCTCATTGCTGTCACGCTAGAAAAAGCCTTCCCTGTACTGTCTATTCGACAGTTGTCTTTAGCTCCTTTTAAAAGGAACCATGTCGATTTCCTACATTCAACAAACCCAACTAGAATTCATTCTGGCAAATGATGTACCTAAATATTTTTCTCAAACAGCCCTTGCCCTCACACCATCCCTCTCATTTTACCTAAGATTCTCCCATTTTTCCTGAATCAAGTTCACACACATTAAATGCTGCTGCAGAGCTCTTGTTCTGTGGCTGATTGAACAGTCACTGCCTAAAACACTGTCATTACTTACAGTAGCTTCAGAATGTCTTCATAATGCAGTGACTTAATCTTCTTTGCCCTATTTCCCTTGCTATTTTAGCCTATTTTCCCAGACTGCATTTTTTCCAATTTTTATATTATTTTGAACAAACAACATGGCGTCAGGATTTTGGTGGGAACTGCCCTTAAAATGAGCTTGGAAGGGTTGACATCTTGATAACTTTCATCCCCGTCCAGGGACACAGTAGAGGTTCCCCTTTCTTTCATTCATCCCTTCAACAAATATTTACTGAGCACCAGGTACTGCTCTGTGTGCTTGGGATACAGCAATGAAGCAAAGCAGACAAAAATCCTTACAGTCTGGGAGATCACATTCCACTGGAGAGGGGACAGGTAACAGAGAAACATTTAGTATTATTAAATATGTATGTATCTGGACTTTCCTTTAGGTCTGAGCATAGATATACTCACATTTCCTATGGATGCCACAAATGTCCATTCCCTGATAAGGCTTCTGACAGGTTGAGTAATTCATTTTGCCTCCATAGACAACCACCTCCAGTTTCCGGGAGGAGGAAGGATGCTCTCTCAGTATAGGAAATGGGGCCTTTCCCCATCTGTCCCTAGACCTCATAATTGCAGATCGTTTCAAACAAACAAAATGAAATACCAACCTTAGTGTTAAATGCAACCTATGATGCCTGTCCTGGAGCAGATCTTTGACAACAAATGTTCCAGAGCCAAGTAAATACATCTGAAGAAGACAAGGGAAGAGAGACAGCATTAGAGCACTTGGTTGACTCAGATCTTCTTACTGTGGCCCCAGGGCATTCAGCTGAGTGGTTCCCATAACACATCTCCCCTCTTGTCAGAAGCCCAATACAATGCTCAGAAATTCCCAAAGACAAATACATTTAGACAAGAGTTAATTTGTGAGCCAGTAGTGAAGTCAATCTGTGTTCACTTCTCACTCAAATGATTACATAATTTTTAAAAAAGGAAGAAAATCCCACGAACCACAACATATTACTTAACTGTTCCCTGAGATCTATCTTTGACATCATACACAGATAGCTTGACTTGTGTCATCTGATTGATAAGAGAGTCTTGAAAGAAGGCAATACTGCTTAGAAATATAGGATTGTTGGTTCCCTAGAACAGAAAAGGAAATAGTAAGAAGAGTTGGATTTTTTTTTAAGTAATTGCTTTTGAAACACACCAACATTTTCAGAGAGAAGCTAACATTCTTACCAACTTGAATCAATACAAATACTAATGGAAGCATACAATCAAAAATTGCTTTCTAAAAGAGGAAAAAGTAGTGCCACATAGATCATAACAGATCCAGATACAACTGAGACCACTGTACAAGCTGTGCCTGAGGACTTGTTTCTAAAGGTTTCACACTCAGTAAGAGGAATTTTCTAAAACTGAAATGAAGTTAATGTCCACATGCCTTCTTAGTTTTACAATTTACGGTGTATTATGTATTTGGACCTACTACTTTGGGTTTTTTCCTTTAAGATATACAAACAGACAGATGAAAGAGGAAATGAAAGGCTTGAGTGGGTTTATTATGTATTTCTAGAAGCCTGTGTTTGAAATAATTAAAAGCTCTTCTTTTTTTAGAACCAGCTGATAGTTTCAAGATCTTAGGTGGTATTTTCTGGCAGCTTTGCCCTGCCCCACCCTCCCACTCCCCATAATACCATATTCTCAGGCACTGGTTAACTATCTCAGTTAAACTGTTCATGCCTCTGGCCATGTTCTCTTTGCATTCCAGATCAAATCTGTCAAGCCTATTGGACAGCCCCTCCTGGGTGTTCTGCTGGGACCTCAATCAACTCAACCTCTCCCTCTACCTGCCCTTGGTTAAAGGCCAACTCTACTCTTTCCAAGCAGGCTAAAAACCTAAGCGTGCACTCTGGTCCTTCCTTCATGGTTCTCAATCATCCAGCAACCATGTACTCCTCTTGTAAGTTCCGCCTCCAGAGTCTCCCTCACAAGTATCTTTTTTTCCACCTCGCCACCCCCCTCAACCCACTGCCGCAGTCAGGTCTTGCATCACTCCCCCAAATGACATCTGGTCAGGTGACTCCCCGCACAAAAGCTACTGGCTTGCTTCCGTCTACTGCATTACAAACTTCCTGGCCCTTCAAGGCTTCCATCCCTTGCTCTCCTACTTCACCATCCACAAGCACCAACCAGGATACAGCAAGACCTCAAACTCGTGTGATGCTTTCGTGTGGTCACACATCTGCATAACTACCACAGAACTTCGGCACACCCTTAAACGTGGAGTTCCCAGAATGGCTGCCTAGGTATAACCTGGGACCTTGGGACAAACGCAGCCTTGGGCCTGACACCAGACTACTAAGGCAGAATTTCATGAAGCTCTACCCTGGAAAGCTCGCTAAGACTCTCACAGCTGGATGGGGCCCCAGCCTCCAGGTGCCCTCTTCGCCTTTCTACTCCAACACTTCCCACACTCTGCTGTGCGTAGCTCTGCCTCCCCTCCCTCAAGCTGGTCAACTCCTCAGGGCAGGAACTGTCCCTGATGGACTCTCTATCATCCATAGTGCCTGGCAGTGTGTTAAAAATGTAGGCAGTGCTCAATAAATGCTTAGAAAACAGGGTTGTTGACTTGAACCTGGAAACAAGATTCCATGAGACGGAAAGGAGGGTAAGCTAGCCTCTAAAAAGGCACAACTAGTGAAGAAGAAATGCGGCTTGCTTGGTAATTCTTCACATTACAAATAAAACCCTGAAGATTTTCATAGGAGCAATTTCTACACTTAGTGTCATAATATATGTAATATGCTCAGTTATCTAAAATAATTTTATGAAATTTCCTTGGTAACAGTTTAGTGTAAAGAGTAAACACAACACAAACTCAAAAGGCAGTAAAAATTAAAACCAACATAAAAAAGGGTATGTCTAAGCAGGAGGACCAACATAAAAAAGGGTATGTCTTAGCAGAGTATTAATAGTTAATACTCTGCTAAGCTTTAAGTAATGAGCACCACTCTCTAAAAGTAGCAGCCAACTGGAGGTGATAAGGAAGAATCACGTCTTACCTCTTAATTTTTTTTTTTTTGAGTTGGAGTCTCACTCTGTCACCCAGACTGGAGTGCAATGGCCGCTCCCAGCCACCGCTGCCTCGACCTGCTGGGCTCCAGCGATCCTTCCGCCTCAGCCTTCCAAGTAGCAGGAATTACAGGCATGCGCTACCACGCCCGGCTGATTTTTTTGATTTATTGTAGAGATGAGGTCTCGCTGCCCAGGCGGGTCTTGAACCCGCGGGCTCAGGCAATCCACTCACCTCAGCCTCCCAAAGGCGCGGGATTACAGGCTGAGCCACCGAGCCTGGCTAGGTCTTACCTCTTAAAAGACAAGCAACCTTATAGGATCACTGTTCAAAAATAACCAGCCAACTTACAAATACAACCAACCTGTAATTGTAAGGGATATGGCAAATAAAAATGCCACCCAGATGAATAAATGTGATGAAAAAATATCAATGTACTGAAACACCCATGGGAAAACAGTAATAACTCACGTAACTATAATTTCAGCTACAGATGTTCAGATAACTGAATAGCCCTCCCATCAGGGTTAGAAACTAGAGCATGTTGCTGGGCTCGCTCAGAGGAGCAGGACCAGGAGCACCCACCTCAATGATCTCCGTCTGTGCATGCTTCGTCCAGAATGCCTGAGGAGGAGTGGTTACACTCACTGCTACAAAACTATTTGGTTTTCGATCTAGCGATGGAGTATGAAGCTCACTGCAAGCTACAGAATCAAGATGGGACAGAAATGAATTCTTTAAAATCAGGTTCTTTTTAGTTCTCTGTTCCAAACACACACACAGAAAGCACAAAGAGTATACTGACACTCAATGAGATGATCATTGTCAGCTGTCATAATTTTTAAATCTCTTCTCACTCACTCCCCCTCTCCTCTGCCACCCTCTAAGACAGCAGCACCATAACTGCAGTAGAAGGCTGGGCTGAAGGGGATTTTCTATGTCCATGGAGTGGAACACAAAGCCAACTAATCAAAATCTGACCAACTGAGCTAAGAAGCCACAGAGTCTACAAATCCTTACACAGCTACACATGCCTGAGTCCTATGACTGCTGTGGCTAACTCTAATCTTATGCCCCATGTGTCTTAGTATATGAATAAAAGTATGCTGGAAGAAAATTAAAATTCTATGACAAAATAAACAAAGCTGTTTAAATAAGCCATTGCTCATTTATTCTCAACAAAGAACCACTTACATGACAGTGGTCCCATAAGATTATAATGGAGCTGAAAAAATCCTATTGTCTACCAACATCATAGCCATCCTAACATTGTAGTGTAACACTGCTTTTTCTATATTTAGATATACAAATACTTACCATTGTGTTACAGTTCCCTATAGTATTTTGTGCAGTAACATGCTGTACAGGTTTGTAATCTAGGTGCAACAGGCTAAACAATATAGCCTAGATTTGTGGTAGGCTGTACCATCTAGGATTGTCTATACTTAACGCCGCTGAACAGCAAACTTAAAAACAGGTCAAATAATACATTTATGCAATGTATATTTTATCACACTTTTAAAATAAAAATGGAGAAACATACTAACTTTAATTTAAAAATACACTCCTGTATTCATAGCAGGTGAGATAAATGCAAAGGAAAAGCAGGAAGAGGAGAAAGAATTGGATGGAAGGAATACACTAATAAAAATGAAAGAAAGAATGGTAGGAAAGGAAGGATTTAAAGAAAATTAGGAAAATACATACAAAGGGAAGAAGGAGACATAAATTTGGTGGGGTAGAAGAGAGCAATATTGTGATGCTTTCAGGAGAGATAAGAATGCCTTCCTTCATCATGTTCATTTGGAATACGTTACTGGCTATCCCTGTCCTCTGAAGGGAACCATGATGATCTAACCAATGCATGCAGTCCAAACTGCTCTTTAGTTCTAATTACACTTTGTCTTACGTTAATATTGCCAGGCCAGTTATCTCTTTTGTTAGCACACACATTTGTGTATATGTTTTATTTTACATAGTTGCTACTCAAGTAGCTACACACAGATGTTTGTCCCAGACCTCTTATGTTTTTAGATTTTCAATCCTTTCCACATTGGTGAACTTCTGTCTGAAATCATTTGCCTTCTGCTAAGCAACATCTCTCAGCTCTGTTTATACTCCAAGTCTGGTGTTGACACATTTCCTCAGCTTCTTTGGTCAGCTTCTTTATTCCACCTCATTGTTGAAGGAAATTTTCTCTAAGGAGTTATTTTCTCTAAGTTCTTTAACTATATTGTCTCTGTACTTCTATTTTTTGTTATGAAATCTACCATTAGTCTAATTGTTGTTACTTTGAGTGTTGTGTTTTCTTGAGACTTTTATGGTTTTTCCATTGAGTTTGGCTCTCAGCGGTTTTATTATGAGGTATCTAGATACATTTTCTTTTTATTTATTCTGTGACTTGCTATATTTTATTAGTTTGGGGAGAAATGTTCAACTTTTACTGCTTCTGACCCTTCTCTCTTTAAGTTCCTTCTTGGATGCAATATAATATACATTTAGATCCTCTCATTGTGCTCCCTATCTTTTTTGCTCCCTCTAATGCTTTTCCCCATTATTTTTATCTCTCTGACTTCATTTTGGAAATTTTCTTCTTGACCTATAACTAAAATGACTAATTTTCTCTTTATGTCTAATCTGCTTTTAAGGTCTATCCATTGATTTTTTTTTTTTTTTAACTTCAGTTATTTTTTTCATTCTAGACTACCCATTTGGTCCTTTTTATGTTTTGTATTTTCTGATGAAATGTTCAATTATATTTTTATTCTCCTTTAACACAGTGTTAAGGACCGAATGCTTGTATCTTACCCCCCAATTTTTTTTTCTTTTTTCTCCATCAGGTTAGTCCTCTGATACAGCCCTTCAAATTTACATTTTGAAATCCTAAGCTTCAATGTGACGATATGAGGAAGTGGGGCCTTTCAGAGGTGATTAGGCCATGAGATTCTTCATGGATAGAATTAGTGCCTTTAAAAAACAGAGAGACAGAACTTGCTCTCTCTGCTCTGCTTTCTGCCATATGAGGATACAAGACTATGACCATCTGCAAATCAGGAAGCTGGCCCTCATTAGACAACAGATATGCTGGTGCCTTAATCTTGGACTTCCCAGCCTTCAGAACTGTGATAAATAAATTTCTGTTGTTTAAGCCACCCAGTCTATGATATTGTTATAGTAGCCCATACCAGGACATAGCTGATAACAGCTATATTAGTATCATATCTATTAACTCTAATGTGTGAAGCCTCTTTGGGTCTGTTTCTGTAGTTTGTTGTTTCTGTTCATATTTCTTATCTCCTTGTGTGTCTGAGAATTCATGATTTTATGCTGAATATCACATTTTTAAATATTTTATTTTCAAGATGTGTGGTAAATTCAAGATTAGATGTACAAGTAGATACTGTACAGGTAAAGTCTGGGCCTCCCTTTAGTCCCCACTTTGCCTGGTTTTAGATCAGGTACCCTTATTGATGTTGTGTCCCCCTCCTCACCTCGAATATTACATTGTAGAAACTATTTGTGGCCTAGGATGATGCTATCTTCCTCCAGACAAAATATGTAATCACTTTGGCCTGGTTATAAGGAACACTAGCACTTGAAGGTACCTTTATTTATCTTCAGAAACTTAATGGACCTGCAGTACCTATGGACACTTGCTTCTGGTTCCCCTTAATGCAAAAGTGTAGGCTTTGGATTCCAAACCAAAGTGAGAAGGGTTTCACCAAGTATCATACCCCTTATGGATCCTGGAACACAATCTCTGTTCCTTCAGCACTGAGAGGCTATGCAAAGTACTGCTTAGCCTCTAGACCCCTCAGCCTTCCTCTTGGGAACACTGAAAGCCCTCAAAGAAATAAGTGGGCCTCCATTCTCAGATGCTTTACTGTCCTATCAGTTCTCTGGAGACATGAACTGGATATTTCTTAGATTTTTTTTCATTTTTTCTAGATGTACTTAATGGTAAGATTTGTTTTGTTTTTTCTTCAAGAAAAAGATTTTGTTTCTCCTTATAATTTATTATTTTCACAAAGAGATGTCTGCAGTTGATGAACACTCTAGGTCCCAAATCCATTCTTCTCTCACAAAAGGATTCTTCTGTTGCTTTTGACCTGCTGCTGCTCCTCTCTCTGGCTCTGGCTTTGCTTCTATGTCCTACCAATCAAATATTCGAACTCTTGGATTTTTCACATCTCTTCATCCACAATCTCTGTTTCCTGATATTTTATCTTTGAACTATGGTCTCACTATGCTGCCTAGGCTGGTCTCAAACTCCTGGGCTCAAGAAATCCTCCCACCTTGGCTTCCCAAAGTGCTGAGATATGGGCATTCCTTCATTACCTTTCACAAATTTACCATAGTTTTCAGCAGTGCTCCTTTGATTTTTTTCATTAATATATAACTTACATACCATAAAGTTCACCCTCTTAAAGTGGTTTTTAGGGTATTCAGAGTCGTGCAACCATTACTATTTAATTCCTTAACATTGTTATCACTCCAAGCAACAGCAATAAGCCAAACCCATTAGCCTCAGTTCCCCTCCCCTAGAAACCACTAATCTTATTATTTATATATAGATTTGTCTATTCTGGATATTTCATATACGTGGAATCATACAATAGGCAGCTTTTTATATCTGGCTTCTTAAATTAGCATATTTTCAAGATTCAACCATACTGTAGTATCAGTACTTCATTTCTTTTTACTGATAAATAATAATCCATTGTATAAACACATACTGTTTGTTCATTACTAACTGATGGATATTTGAATTATTTACACATTTTGGTTATTATGAATAAAACCCAAATATTATTAACATTTGTGTATAAAGTTTTGAGTGGACTAATGGTCTTCTCTTTCATTTTTGAAGGATATTTTTGATGGATAGGAAACTCTTGGCTGACTGTCTTTTTCTTTCAGACATTTGAATGTGTCATCCCACTACCACCCTCACCTCCATTGATTCTGATAAAAAATTCACTATTATTCTTACTGATGATAGCTTATACATAAGAAGTCACTTCTCTCTTGCTGCTTTCAAAATTCTGTACTTGGCTTTCAATAGCTTGATTATGGTGTATTAGAGGTGTGGCTGTCCTTGAGTTTATCTCACTTGGACTTCCTTGGTGTTCTTAGCTATGTAGATTAATGTTTTCTATTAAATATGGGATGTTTCTGGTCATTACTTCTTCAGATTTTTTTTTGTTCTTCTCTATTTCCTCTCTTTCTGGAATTCCTATATATGTATTAGTACAATTGATGGTGTCCCACAGGTCTCTGAGGCTCTGTTTCTTTCTTTTTTTCTGGATTCTTTTTTCTTTATCTCAGACCGGATAATCTCAATTGACCTGTCTTTGAGTCTGCTGATTCTTCTGCCTTCTCAAATCTGTGACTGAGTCCCTCTTAATGAATTTCCCATCTCAGGTTGATTTGTTTGTTTCTGTTTTTTGTTTTTTTTCAGTCAGTCTCACTCTGTAACCCAGGTTGGAGTACAGTGGCATAATCAGGATTCACTGTAGCCTCAACCTTCTAAGCCTCAACCTTCTGAGATTCTTCCACCTCAGCCTTCTGAGTAGCTGGGACTACAGGCATGTGCCACCATGCTGTTAATTTTCTGATTTTTTTGTAGAGACGAGGTCTCACTATGTTGCCTTGGCTGGTCTCAAACTCCTGGGCTCAAGCAATCCATTCATCTTGGCCTCCC